TTTGACTTATTCCTTTCAAAACACATCAAGTTCAATTTTGATTGCTTTTCTGTCTCCTGTGTCAATAAAATAAAAGCAAAAAGGCCTCAGAAAATTCAACTTCCCGGGGTTTGAGAGGAAAAGCCTTTGAGTTAGAGAGGTTTTTAATGCATTTTCTGAGAGATTCCATAGGAGGAATTGCAAAAAAAAAAATTAATTGGTTATTAAGAGAGTATTTGGCGAGGTTAAACTGTATTTCCAGAATATAATGAGCATGGTCATGTTTCTAGGATAACATTTTGCACTCTGCGTCCTGAAAAACGTGCACAGGGTCACGTACTAAAGCACAGTAATTGCACAGCAGAAAACTGCATCAGGCGATTGCCAGGAATTCCTGGTGATCGTATGACAATCTCACACACACACTTTCTTCCCTGATCTAAATTACTTGCTTCCTCATAAGATTTCCCCCAAAATCTGCTAAATAACCGCTAGTTATTTATTGCTCATTTTTTCCCTTGAAATTACAGTACTGTATTTCAACTCATTGAAATAGGATGGAAAATTTCTAGCGTGGGAAAAAGTGTCAGCCCTGTACAATTTCTCCTCAGAGATTCTTTCTAAATACTGCAATCCATTTATAATTATCTGGGAACAGGCTGAACGCCTTGTCCTTTGAAATGTTTTACTAATCGCTGGGTGTTACGTATTTTTTTTGTTGAAAAAGGGCGCCAATCAAAGAATTCATGCATTTGCATGCGCTGTGATTATGAAAATATTTTCTTCATTTCTGAATGGAGGCGTCAAATTCTCATGCAAAACTTTTTGAACCTTGTGAAAAATGACAAGTGGCAAACAGAGCGTATTTATCAGTCAATCAATTAAACAGCAGGATGCAGATATTCTGCAGACTACTGGAACTGAATAAATGAGATTATACAGTACATTACTGCACATTCAGATTCTCTCACCTTGATATCTTCGACAGCACCTGCAGTCAGATACCTTCGCTCCTCGGCTCTCACGGGTCGTCGTCGATTGTTCCCGTTACCCGCGCCGATACGATCAACCCCGGAACAGAAGTCATCGATCGGGCTGCTGGTTCTCTCCGGGGTGCCGTCATTGAACCCAGGTGCGAACGGGTTCGTGCTTTGCTGCTGCGATGATGGCGATGACGTGTTCGAGTCGGACATGGAAACAGGGCCGAGATTCGCGCGTCCTTCCGAAGCCACTCTGTCTGCCTTCCGCAGCGGCGGGAACCGGCTTTGAGGCACTGGCATCGTTCTCTTCAGCGATCTGAGAATCAGCGAGTTTCATTTAAAAAAATTAAATAAAATGAAAAGACATCGCAATTTCACATATTTTCATTTTTTTCTTCTTTTACTAACCGTGAAGAAGGCGGAGGATAGGAAATCCCTCGGGTTGTGGGACTCAGCATGCGGACTTGCGACCCCGGAGATGGCGGCCGTCCGCAAGGATCACAAGGTTCGTTTCCTTGCCCAGGAATCGTAAGCATGTTCGGAATTTGCTTCTGAACCGCATTCTGCAAAAGGGGGGAAAAACAGCATCAGGTATCAGCCTCAAAAAGATCTAAAACCATTGAAAAAAATATTTTTTTTTCGGGTGAAACAGATTTTTCTTACTATACCACAACGCAGTTTAGCAGAAGGGTATACGTGAAAATATGCACGATTTTTCAGCAGCCCTAATTAAAATGCATAAACTATTCTTATGACACGCCTCCAAAAAAATTGCTGAAAATTACTGCATTGAAGAATATAAGATATACGCTTGAAACATAAGATACACGCAAACGACATACACAATTCACGCACCGATGATTTGTTCAAATGCTTCATCAAAATTTGAAAAAAGAGGGGAATTGGGCAATCGATTTCTGAAGACTGTCAAGTGTGGAAATTCAATGTTTTGATAATCATCCTTTTTCAGTAACTGCTGCAATTCCTATAATTCTAGCTTATGCTGCTATTCATGTTAATATTTTGCTTTAAATGTCAGGGAAAGAAGGGGATGTATGCATACACATCAGTTGTGCAGTTGCACATTGTGGACTGTATTTTCTTTTATTTTGGTATCCATATACAGCTTATTTCTCTGTTTCCGCTTCTGAAGTGATTGGATGCATTTGAATGGATTTGGGTTGGGAGGGGAGAGGGTTTGTATGTGGGAATGTTGATGGAACCTTGTGAATGCTGAAAAGCGGAAAATAAAGCTTTCCTTTCATCAATTCATCATCCTTTTTAAATTTGATGAATTCGCCAAAATACATCCAGTCAATTCCCAGCCACTGTACCATAATGACCTGAAAATAAATCCTCTGGAGTCCCTCTTCAAAAAACAAAACAAAAAATAATTGTCACTATATGCTAGTGTTTTTTTTTTCTATTTTTTTTATTTTAAGATACGCACAAGTTCTTCATATTGCAGTTTCTGAAATTTCAATTTTGAAAAATGAGTTTATTTACCTGTAAATCAGGCATGGACTGTCCCGAAGGCAATGTGTACAGGACGGATAGATGCGACAGACCAGAGTGCATTTGTTGTGTTTGCTGCAGTTGATTCGCTGGACTCAAATGCGGCGACGTTGGTAAACTCACTGCGGGTGCACTGGGTCCCAACAACGACCGAGCTTTCATCGGACTGCTTCCCATGGGCCTCCTGATGATGAAAGAGGACGTCCAATTTAATATGAACATAATTCATGCCGATTTTGGATTCTGCAGAACGATTATTATTTTTCGTGCAAAATTTATAGACAATGCAGTAATTGGGAGCACCCTATGGAGAAATATTTGTAGCCAAAATCACTCTCACTTCACCCGCACACGAACTGGCAAAAATGATCAATGGATATCTGGAGACAAGAAATGTGGCAGCCCGAAAAAAATACGGAAAGTTAGATAATTGTCAGGATAAAAAAATGGAGGCGAGGTGTGAATTTCAATGTAATTTACATGACAACTGTGAAGCGCAAGAGAAGGCAAATTGTCTATTTCTTTGACTTTAATTTTTTGAAAGCTGAAATAAGACAAGCATATTTACGCGGTCAAGTTTTCTTAAGGAAATGCAAGTTTAATCATTCTCACGTTGTTTGAGTCGAATCTTCACACACACACACAAATACTGTACTGTATCTTTTCCTGCCCTTCTCGTTCCTAAATTTTTCTCGAACAATTTCAAATTTACAGAAGGTATAGCCATTGGAAAGGTTAGCCCTATAAATGTGAGAAAATATTTGTGGAATTCACCTCCCATACTTCGACGTTGAATACAATTTCGGGAACTTCAAAAAGAGCCATAAGGATTTAAGAGGATTGAGAAAGAAAAACCGCCCCAGGTCTGAAAACAATCTTCAGGTAAATGACAATCCTACTAATAATCGTGATCCCAGCAAAGAGTGCATATGTGATTTGATGAATTTTATCACTTCCCTTAAATATAAAATGTCAAACAATAAATAAATATATTCTATATCAAATGTCGAGTCCGGGCTGTTGCATGTGGATCGCGAGAAAATGCTTATAGCCAAGGATCACAATTAGCTCAAACTCTTGAATCATCCACGGCATCCCCAGGCACGTTATCTTCAATTTAAGCTCAAAAAGGATTCTGACTCTTAGATCAACCTGATTTATTGATTTATTTTTTTTAAATAAATCAGCACTCGCCTTTCGCGAGGAGGCGAAGCAGCGACCGGGAACTGTTGAATGATGGGCGTTGGTTGCGGTTGGCAAGATTCTGACAGCGTTCTCGCTCTGAGGATGTGTCCAAATTGTTGCTGTTGTTGTTGAGAAAGCTGTGGGGTTTGGGGTTGCTGATTTCCGTCAGGAAGCAGTGGCACAGGCCCTTCTTCCGAACTTGCACTAGACCAGGCGGACATGACTCCGGTTTGGGCGCCTCGCGAAGCTGCTGAAGTGTCATTCGCCTCGCTCATCGCATCGCATTGAATATCCATCGATCCGCTGGAATTCGCACAACATAAAAATACAGTANATACTGTACTGTATCTTTTCCTGCCCTTCTCGTTCCTAAATTTTTCTCGAACAATTTCAAATTTACAGAAGGTATAGCCATTGGAAAGGTTAGCCCTATAAATGTGAGAAAATATTTGTGGAATTCACCTCCCATACTTCGACGTTGAATACAATTTCGGGAACTTCAAAAAGAGCCATAAGGATTTAAGAGGATTGAGAAAGAAAAACCGCCCCAGGTCTGAAAACAATCTTCAGGTAAATGACAATCCTACTAATAATCGTGATCCCAGCAAAGAGTGCATATGTGATTTGATGAATTTTATCACTTCCCTTAAATATAAAATGTCAAACAATAAATAAATATATTCTATATCAAATGTCGAGTCCGGGCTGTTGCATGTGGATCGCGAGAAAATGCTTATAGCCAAGGATCACAATTAGCTCAAACTCTTGAATCATCCACGGCATCCCCAGGCACGTTATCTTCAATTTAAGCTCAAAAAGGATTCTGACTCTTAGATCAACCTGATTTATTGATTTATTTTTTTTAAATAAATCAGCACTCGCCTTTCGCGAGGAGGCGAAGCAGCGACCGGGAACTGTTGAATGATGGGCGTTGGTTGCGGTTGGCAAGATTCTGACAGCGTTCTCGCTCTGAGGATGTGTCCAAATTGTTGCTGTTGTTGTTGAGAAAGCTGTGGGGTTTGGGGTTGCTGATTTCCGTCAGGAAGCAGTGGCACAGGCCCTTCTTCCGAACTTGCACTTCTGGTCCGCCTGTACTGAGGCCAAACCCGCGGAGCGCTTCGACGACTTCACAGTAAGCGGAGCGAGTAGCGTAGCGTAACTTATAGGTAGCTAGGCGACCTTAAGCGTGTTGTATTTTTATGTCATATTTTAAAGAATTGACTAATGTTTGCGGATACATTTATTTCCCTGTTCCACGCACTTAAGCATTCCATTATTTAATGTGCTTTTTTGTGACATCCTTCGATGAAGTCGAAGTATTTTATATAAATAATGAACATCTTATTACATGATGCCAAAAAAAATTACAAAAGAGAGAGAGAGGGACGAATGCTAAAAAAAAAAGAGCATAGAACAAGGTGGTCACAAACCAAAGGTACAATAAAAGTCTTTTCATTGAGTGAATTTTGTTTTGTTTTGAAGATTCAGTCTCGGATTTGAAAAACCTTGGTAAAAAACAACTTCTTACCCACGGCTTCGATTTTTAAAATAATTTTTTTTCGTGGGATTTTGAATCATTGACAAAGAAAAGGGGGGGGGGGGGGCTCGAGGATTTTCTATGAGAGTTCCTGCAATTTCGGTATGAAACTTTATAATTTGGTGTAATTTTCAGGCGAGTTAATCATCGTTCTTTTCTAAATTATAGAACACTTGGTGTACAAAAATGATTTCTACAGAAAGAAAAAAGGCGGCAATTTTTTTTAGCAGATTTGCTATTTTTGTACGCCCGTAAAAATGATGAAAATATCTCGTTTTTAAGAAGCAGTAGATCAAAATAATTTCCACAGGCTGGATGAACGACGGATTTTGAAAGAACAAAAACTCATCGAAAGGCAGAATAAATAATTTTTTTCAATTTTGCGCTTCTTCGATATTTTTTAAATTAAAAACCTCCACTAAAGCAAATGTTGTGCACTTTTTCACTTCAAGGAAAAAAAATCGCAATTTTCTTCTTCATCCTAGAGACTCGAAAGTATTTTTGAAAAGAGGGCATCCTCCAGCAGAGAGAAAAAAATCTCACGATATTTTTGCATTTTTTCCAGCTCTCTCATCCAGTTTGGTCCGCCATTTCGGTTTTTTTTAAACTTGATGAAATCATGCACCATACTTATGAATGGTGTGATTCAAGAGGTGAAACGAACCTGTGTGACCGGGCCAGAGACGAACCCCGACTGGGTCTCGACGACGGCGCGGGTGACCGGGCAGGGGAATAGGCATTCGGACAAGGCAGCAAGTGCAGACCGTCGCCGTCGTCGGACGCAAACGACGGCACCGACGTCATCAACGCCTGTGGCGCGAGAGGTCCGCCATCTAACATAGTCGTCGTCGACATCGACATCACCTGAGAGGCCTTAGATGTCGCTGCTGACTTAGCTTCCACGTAATTGTCCCGCGCCTTGCGGAAACAGTCGCACCAAACCTGCCGAGACAATATATTTATGCACCGAACATACAATCATAAAATTTGATAATTGAAATACGCAAAATAAATTCCGAAGAAATGAATAGAATTGCTGAATATTAATCGCGCAATTTTAAAGAGGAGACGATTTTTATACCAAAGAATAACGTTAAGGATATTTTTCACGAAAGAAAACGAGCCGGAAATTCCGCCTGTGAAGCTTATTTCTTGATCGTTCGCGGAAAAAATTTCAAGTACCGTTTATTATCACTGAATGATAAAATACACAGTTTACAGCTTTTGCAATTTCGATGAATAGTTCACGGAAATCACGCAAGAGTTTCATTTGTGAAATGAGTTGAATTTTTCACATCATGAAATCCGTACATCATTACCTTAAATAATTCAATATATTTTACCAGCGAATCAAACGTTAGAGCATAATCTGAACTATATTTGAAACTAGCTGTTCCAAA